AAAAAAAAAAAAAAAAAAAAAAAAGAACGATTCGTCGATTGACCCAGAAATAAATTTATTCTCGTTTCGTATTTTCTGGATACTCGATGATACACGTGAAAAAAAACGAGAGATCCATTGTGAATGGAAATGTAAGTGAAATTATTCTCTGCATGCTAATTTTTTTTAATTAATCCAACGTATATTCGTATCGCTGCCGCTTGATATACATTTACAACGATGGTCAACTCAATATACTTTGATGCACTGGATATAAAAAAAAAATATAGAGAGAACGAGAATTCAATTTTGGAAATATGATTGCTCATATCTTGCATATCAGATTAATCAGTATATTACATTTGAATAAAGAATTTTCGCACGTGCATAAATATATGTATATAACAAAATTGTGTAATGCATTATATTATCGATTCCAAATCTTTCAATTCGAAACTATAATAATTCGATAAAAAGAAATATAAAAAGAATTACAAAACTTTCTACGTTAATAAAAAATATATTGCTATATGGAATATGTTAGAAAACATTTCGAACGATAAATACTATTCTTGTCGTAAAAATATCTTTGGGAGGAGAATTTATCGAACAATAATGTACGTCCAAATATATCGAAACGCGTGTTAATTTGTCGTTGTTTCAATTCAATTATCCCGAATTCGACCGCAGAGTGATAAAATCAATAGATGGAAGGGAATGGTTTAAATATTATTTCCTTAGTTATTATTAACCATACGTCGATTTTCATTCGTGTAAACATCGGTTAATTCAATCGTAGCGCGGTAAGAATCGGTAAACACGAATCGTGTTTGTCAATCAATAGCCATATTGATCTTATATAACACGTGGAATATACAGATTCATAAAAGTTTTAACACCACTTTGTAATACTTTTACAGAAAGATTTGATAATGGTATAATATTTTACACCCTAATAGAGTATCACTTTGGTTAAAATCAACGTTTATATTTAATATTTAATAATAACAACAAGATAAGAATAAAATTTAAAAAATGTTAAACTATGAAATAATTAGATTTTTAAGCTATTCGAAAATAGTGAAAATTTATAAGTTGATTTCGCGCATTCAAAGAAATTTTCCACTCGAAAAAAAATACACAAATTTTGCACGAAAATAAAATTTTCTTGTATCCAGACTCCTTTTGTGCGACCGACTGCGCGTTATATTTCCTCGAGAAACGATTTGTTGGAAATATTTTTATTTTCCGTCGAGCAAAGTGGCGTTTTATAAGGTAATTTTCAGTTTCGCCCCGGCCTCGAAATGGTGAGTTGCGATACGTTAGGCAGGGTAAAGTTTCTACTCAAGTGAAATTCCATCTAAAATTGATCGCGACGAGGTCATGGGGTTAGCGAGACGTGAAACACGAATCCTGAATTCAAAGAAACTCGAGGGTATCGTTCCTGTCCATGGACAGGAATGGGAAAATGGCGACCTCGTCGTGTG